TATTCAACCATTGCACTAAAAATAATAAAATAAAATTATTTTAAATATTTTAAAGATTGACGTCAATCGTCTATTCCATTCATTACTTACGCTCAGATGTCACTTCGACGTAAAACACAACAAAGTTTCTCAAGGTCAAAAAGTCAAAAATTGATTCATTTTTATTATTCCTGGTACAAAAAAATGGTAATTAATAATTCCATTCATTAATTTTTTATTTTAAAGTTGGTTTTCATATCGTGTTTACAGTAAAATACTTCAAAAGTATATTTTTATATAAACTAACATAAATGAACTGTGTATTGTCACTTATTGCCACTTGCTTCGACCAATAGTGTGCGTTTTAGAACTTAGCGAGGGAATTAGAAAAAAGACACTTTATAATGATTAAATTTTGCCACTAAATCACATTATATTTAAAAAAATCTTTGCAGGACTGTTTTTATAGTAATAAAGTATACTTAAAAAAAATTTGGTACAATTTGGCGTCATATGCATATTGCCTATTGTAGTAGATTTAATAAGCTACTATTTAGTTTGTTTAGTTGAAAAAATAAAAATTGTATTGAAACGTATTTGGTTTTATAACCTTCAATTATCAGATTTTGTTGTTAGTCTATTTTTCTTCTTTAAAAAATTGTTAGAAAAGAACTTTAACTTCGCATTTATCTTTCTACTCTTAGTACGTAGATGTTTTGTAAATAAACAGCTTTTTTCTATCTATACAGCACGTAATTCTTATTAGAGTGTAGTTCTAGAAGTTTCCATTAGAAAAATCATCTAATGAATAAATTCGTTTCATGTTTATAGTGGAACTATATTGTACAGCTAATTATAAGTCTCCGCTTAAAGTAAACTACCAAATACCAATCCTAATATCCAACATAACCTCAAAATGAACTGTCAAAAAAATGGCGGGCAAATCTGCAGCGCGTAACAGGCACCCGCGTCACAACATGGACGGCATTTCTGCAGTTGACTTCGAGCACCATGATTACACCAAGATGGAGAGCTTCCTGAAGACGCTGCATGAGGAGTATCCAGACATCACCAGACTCACCAGCATCGGGCAGTCTGTGGAGGGTAGAGAGTTGTACGTGCTAGAAGTTACTGCAGACCCGGGAAAACATATTCCAGGTATGTTGAACTACGGTTAGAAAACATTTAAGTGACCTGTGGCGCCATTTTAGCAATTGTTTGACGTTTCAATATGAATAATCTAATTTTCATCAAAATGTGGAGGTCATAAAAAAAATAGTTTATGCAAATCCTAGTTACAAGGATATAATCTAACTAAATTGCAATGCTTTTATTTATAAAAAATCAAAGTTGAAGCATGATAGTGAATTATCTTTTTAGTAAAGCAGTTTATTAAATAAAATCCTAGTATTAATAGCAGAAAAAAGTAAATTATTTGTTACCTAAACATTTGTCACCAACAGGCAAACCGGAGTTCAAATACGTGGCCAATATGCACGGTAATGAGGTAGTTGGTCGAGAAATGTTGCTATTCCTGGCCAAATACCTGTGCCAACAATACACCAGCGGCGACAAGAGGATCCAGAAGATGCTGAACACCACCAGGATACATCTCTTACCCAGCATGAACCCTGATGGATATGAAAAGAGTAGAGAACGTGAGTTATTGTGGTTTTATAATCTTTGGTCATTTTTAATCTATGACAGATGACATTGACAGTTTTGCTAATTTTTATCGAAAGGAGCAATTGTTGCCAAATTATTATCCTAAATAATCTATAAAAAAATATAAGTATTTTGTGTTCCTTTCTTTATTATTTCACGTGTAATAAACGCATTTTCAGGTGATTTCGGCAGTATAATCGGCAGAGCGAACGCGCACGATGTCGACCTCAACAGAAACTTTCCTGACCAGTTCGGACCTACTCAGGTATCAAACTTACGTTTATTTTATTTTCTGAATTGAAAACTCTACACTTAAATATTTTCATGCTGTTAAACTTAGGGGGTGAGTAATTAGAAAACTGCTATGTGGGGAAGGGACAAAAACTACAAGCCAATAGCAGCAAAGAACGGGATTGCCATATTTAAATTCCTAGTCAATAGCAAGTGTCTTTGTCACTTGAGTGAGTGTATTTTGACATTCGCTATTTGAAAGTTTTACGTATTATAAAAATAAATTGTTTATAATACGGATGAAGTCGTACGGGAAAAGCTAATATTGTACTAACATGTTGCAACTTTTTTTTTCAGGATAACTCGTCACCGGAAGTGGAAACTTCAGCTGTAATGCAATGGTCTCAATCGCTGCCGTTCGTGTTGTCGGCCAACCTGCACGGCGGCGCGCTCGTCGCCAACTACCCCTACGACGGCAACCCCGACATGGCCAGCGGCGGGGAGTTCCTCACCCCCGATAATGGGGTGTTTGTGCATTTAGCACATGTCTACTCTAATGTAAGGGAATATCACTATTTTTAGTATATTAAGTTTTGCTCGCGAATTTGTACTTAACATATTAAAAAAATATATGTTTTACAACTCTGACAAATTTTATAATGACCAATTTAACCATTCTGCAGATTTGTTAGAATGTAAATCTAAACTTTTGTATTTATTTAAGTCCTGTCAATTCGTACGGACTGGAATTTATTTTTGTTCCAAAATTTTTATCCAAATCTAAAAAATGTTTATAACTAGCTGTTCCCATGCGACTTGATCCGCATAAAATTATTAAAACTTCATTTTATTGTACACATTTGTTAAATTATCAATTGCAAATGTTAAAATGACATGACATGACAAACCTTCGCAACTTTGCTTCCTTGATGTTGGCAATAACTTATGGTCTCTTTCCCACATTAGGGTTTTTATCTAAAATATTTACCCAAAAAAAAGAGTTATTCTAAAATATGCTATGATTGCTGACATCTTAGGCAGTAAAGAAGTGTGTGTTTACGCTTTATTATATTAGTATAGGTGAAAATCCTTTATTAAACCATTTTTATAAAACACTGTACGTATGTATGTTACAAGGCCCATCATAAGATGCACTTGGGTCAGCCGTGCAAAGGATCTCCCAACGAGAAGTTTCCAGAAGGAATCGTTAATGGCGCCAAATGGTGAGTAATTTTAAAGAAATGGATTTAACAGGATGCATAGGAAGGAGAAATAACCTCTTTCTGTACCCTCAGTTAGTTAGTTAGTTATTAAAGACGGTCGCTTCGCTATTTTAACGAATCCAGAGTTTTTTGACTATTCTGTACTGTTGTATTAGAAATTAAAATTTTAAGACATGCAAAAGTATATTTTTCTGTTAAAATCAATTTTAACAAATTAACGTAAGAAGTCAAGAAAAAAATTAGGAAATAAATAAAATATTAATACGCGGTAAAAGAGTTAACATATGCATATATCTTTATTAATAAAGAGAAGTAGGATTTTTCTATAAAACTATTTGAAATACCGATTTTTTTAAATAAACTTGTTAGATTTGTATTTTAACAAACTTGTAATAACATTAATTGTTGTAATTTGTTTCAGGTACGTGCTATCAGGGGGTATGCAGGATTGGAATTATCTCCACACCAGCGATATGGAGCTGACGCTGGAGCTGGGCTGTTACAAGTTCCCTCCTGCTGCAGACCTGCCTACATACTGGCAGGACAATAAGGACGCGCTTCTAGATTATATTGAACAGGTGATTACTGAAACGAATTATTTCGCTTTGTTAATGTTCAAGTATTTGTTTGTTAGATTTAACATTTTTTTTAGAGAAAAGGATTTGTGGAGTAGACGCATAGGAAGGGAAATGTCCTTTTTATGTGCGTCTTCTCTGTCAATGAAGGGTAGGCAACGCATCTGCAATTGCGGATGTTTATGGGCAGCGGTCGCTTTCCATTTTGCTGGATTCAGGTGGCAGCTTGCTTGTTAGCCTTCTTATTTAAAAAAAAAAACTCGCACATTTTAGTCTAGCTTTGATTCCTAAGAGCTTATGAGGTTACACTACTCGATTCTTAGTTGTGCGACTAAACAGTTGTGTGCTAAACAATCGACAATCGACAGTTGTGCGATAGTTTAGTCAAATATGTGCGCCCGCTCTTACTATTTAAGATGTTTTGTTTTTTTTTTTCAGTATTCGAATATTAGTGTTTTATGTGTCATTTTTCTAGACAATAGATGGCGCTTATTTATATTATAGAAAAAAGATTGTAAATCTATGTGACTAGTAAATTCAAATATTATTGAAAAGTGATAAGTTTCTAACAAAAAATCTTTCTTTATTAGAAATATTGGTTATAAAAAAATAACTAGATTTCTTATTTCCACGCAGTTGTTATTAAAAACAATTCATTTTCGTGATCATAGATGGCGCTGATGATATTAAGAATCATTCAAACTAAGGAATAAGTTAGCATATATTTATGTATTTATCAAAGTTATTTATTTATTATTTTTTATATACAAACAGGTACATATAGGAGTGCACGGGTTTGTACATAGTCATATTGGACACGCTCTACCCAATACTACGATAGCTGTCTCCGGTATCAAACACGTTGTGAAAACAGCAAAAGATGGAGATTTCTGGAGATTGCTACTGCCTGGGAAATATAACATCACTGCTAGTAAAGATGGGTGAGTTGAAAGATAAAGAAAATAATTGAAATTAGGAAAACAGTAAGAAATTATCTTTTTGAAAGTAATTTGTAAGAAAAAACAAGATTTTGAAAATCTTGTAAATGATACATGTTTTAAATATATCTTAGGATTATGTAAGTGATAATTTAAAAAAAAATAGTTAATAATATCAGAAAAAATCAATAGCTGACAATTTGAACTAAAGTTTACAGAAACTAGTCAAATTTCAGTTTATTCATATAGAATCAGAAAGGAGAAATGTTACCATTATCTTAACTTTCGCCCGTGACTCCGTTCGCTTTTGATTTTAAAAATACCCTATGAGCATTACGTTTTCGATCAACGTAAGAATGTCGGGTAAATGTACATATCGACGGTTTCAACCGCCAATTTAGGCGATAATGACTTATATATATTCAGAATAAGCGAATTTAAAATATGAAATAAATAATGAAGTATACAGAATTATAGTTTTTTTTTTTCTAAAAATGAAAACTTTAAATGGATATCCTGAAGATTTAACCAAATGGCGTATATCAGTCAACCAACCCGCAGTGCATGGTTGATGGCCTAGTCACCCTAACTTAGACTAGGCTCCGAGCTCAGTGGGAACTTATTGTGCTGGTGATGATATTTTTAGATGTTTCGACTCCAAATGATTTTAAAAAATTATACTCGGACGGCCATATTTACATTTTGACATTTGTTAATTACTTTAAAACTCAAGTAAGACAACAATGTAAAGATATCGAACGTTCCGTAATGACGCCTACAAATGTAAAACTGAAACTACCCCCACTATTGTAAAACTACCCGCCACCATTTCTTCCGTTTTCTAACATTCCCTAACAATATATATTTAATTTTCCAGATATGAAAGTGTAACAGAAGAAGTGACAGTTCCTACTGAAGGATCTGTCAGTGTCAACTTTACTTTGATGGTGGACGACCCCCAGCATTGGTCCTCCGCGTACGACTTCCGGTGAGTGGAAATCAACCTTATCTCCTACTGCATACAGTCTATATTGCTCTAACATTCCTTCACTTCTAGATTATTCCGCAAACGCTTTATAACCAGAGATATTAAAAAGTATAGAGTAGGCATAGTTTACATTTTACTTCACACATCTCAAAACTATCATTATATGAATTACATTTAATTTATTTGTCAATAGGTGTCATTAAATAATATTTTAAAGTTTATATTTTGTTTCTAGATTTTGTTTTTTTTATTTTTGTAACAAAAGATGGAGCTTATTACAATTTGTTAAATGTTTTACATGTCAATACAAACATGAGACATGACAACTAACATAATACCTTTGAAAGAAGGTACCGGTGAATAATTTTGGCTACTATGTCTAGTCTATATCTTAAACATCTTTGACCATAACATATGTATGCTTAAATATTCTGCACATATATCTATTGTTATTTATACTTTAAATAGTAGATTCGTAATTTATTAATATTTAATTTTTTTATGATATATTTCTCAGAAAATCAATGGCAACACTGTCAAGACCAAATGTCATCTTTATTTTTTTAATCTATGCTCTCTACTAGCTTTTGGGTTTTAAACGATTTATTATATTATTAATTTTGTATATATTTCTTGTAATCAATGTTTAATTTTAATAAAAAGATAATGTTAAAATAAGTGGTAATTATGTAAAATCTAATACTCATAAGAGATTTAAATAAATATTTCAATTTAGGCATTTAATTTGATTGTCACAAATTATTCATATCAGAAAACGTCCAAAATCCGTCCTTTTTATTGATTTACTAAATTTAGACATATTAGGTAATTAATTTGAGAAATTTTTGTCGATATTATTTATTTTACAAATGAATTGTATTTAAGCACATTAAATATGTGATTTTAAAATTTTTTTCAAAACTAAACATTTACAGCCTTACAAATAAACGCGGTATTAAGTTAAACTTAGGAATAAACTGAGTATAAGCAAATATTAGTGCTTATACTTATCACCGATATTGCGGCAGCCAAAAATACAAAACAAAAACTTCTAATTAAAACATATTTTATTCAAAAATCATTTACATATTTACAAATAACAAAAATTATATCGTGACTTCATCTTGGCGTCTCTTCTATCTATTGTTTTTCCACTACTTTTTAATAAAAAATAATGCAAACGTCTTGGTGGCCAGTATGCAACCTTTATCTGTATTCGTACTGCTTATCCGCCAAAGAGGTTGTATTTTTCAAACACCGCGTTCTGTAAGGCTGTAAATTTATGCTGCTTTAAAAGTAAAAAAAAATGTATCTCTACAATGCTATATTATGTATAGTTATATGTTTTAGCTATAATATCTATGTACTCAACTAATATATTTGTCAGTCTATCGCTTCTCTATGTAATAAACTCAGCATGACAATATGTGTTGTTATTGTTCTAACTGTCTGCTTTTACTAACATAAAGGTCGTCGCTCATATATCAACACGACATCCACACATAAAACGCATAAACACTTATTAAAATGCCAGATAATAATTTAATTCGTAAAGTACAGTCGGCTTGTTCATAGTGAGCAATAAATCGCATGAATATCTTGTATTTAAGCGATAAAATTCATTAAATCATACTAATATTATAAATGTGAAAGTTTAGATGGATGGATGGATGTTTGTTAGAGTTTGTAGCCTAAACGGATGAAATTTGGCAGAGATATAGAGGATAGTCTGGTAGAACAGATAGGCTATTCACTTTTGTTTTTTTCAATACCACGCGGACGGAGTCGCGGGCGAAAGCTAGTAACATTATACAATAATCGTATTTGTAGGTTATACTCATTGTTTATTACAATCAAAACAAGTCTTTATATCTAATAAACTTATTTTGGAGTCTGTAAGGGGGTCATCTGCCTCTACAACCCCCTTACTGGCGACCCCCTAGATAAGTCTAATTGTTTATTTCCTAGAAAGGTGGTAGTTGAATTTAATTACTAGATGTAAATTAATGGTTCTGTGAATAATTGAGCCACGTAAATATTTATACATTTACATTTCGTTCATTAAAATTGAAACTGAATACGTAAAATTCTGTATTTAAGTATACACATGAAGATGACTGTACTTTGACAGTTTAACAGTACAAAAATATATTTAAACAATACACATGACGCTGATTGTACTTTTTTTAACACTTTAACAGTATTAGAAAATATTTAGTCTACACATGAAGCTGACTGTACATTTTTCACAGTTTACCGATTTTTGTACTGGTTTATATTCGTATTTAATATATTATAGAGTACTGGAGAATATAGTGAACACGAAGTACCACAGCGGCGTGGAAACGTACGCCGCGTTGGCGGAGCTGGAGAACAGGTTCCCAGATGTAGCGGAGTTCAAAGCTGGGGATGCTCTCAGTACTGCTGTATTCCATACTCTCAAGCTTACTGATGAGGTAAGTAGAGTCCGTTAATTAGTGAGTTTTTTTGTAACAAAAACTGTTTTTTTTTTTAGTTGAGTCACATTTAAATAAGTCGACGGAGTTTTTTGTAGCAAACACTTTTCTTAGTACTTCATATGTAATTATTTTGCGGAGTTTTTTTTTTGTAGCAGAAACTTATTTTCTTAGTAAAGTCATATTTAATTATTTGGCGGAATTTTTTGTAGTAAAAAAAAACTGTTTTTTTTAGTGAACTCGAATTTTTTGATGTGAAATAAACTAGTTTATTAGATTTTTTTGAATTAGTTGTTCGTTATACAGGACATTGTCGAATTAAGTGTTTCAAATCACTTTAGTACTTAGTGGTGATTTTTTAGTAAATTTACACAAGGTCACTCTGAGTAACATAGAAGTCCTTAGTGTGGTTAGTTTTAGATTTTTAGTATTCCAGTCTAACTTTAGAGATTCGAAAAAACATTAAACCAATCTTTGATTGAAAATTCGGAAGTTTGGATGGATGGAGGTTGCTAAATATCTCAATCACGGCTTGACAGATTTCTATGAAAATTGGCATAAATGTATGTGACAGAGTAAAGACTATAAAAACACATTGACTACTTACAATTTTTTTAACGACGCTTTTTACAGTTTCTTTAACATTTTTTTATAGGTTGGATCACCAGAGGAGACTAAATTCCGTATCGCAATAATTAGCAACTTATACGCGTCACAGGCTTTAGGCCAAGAGCTATTGGTTAATTTCGCCCGACACATTACAACTGCATACACAATCGGAGAGCCAATACATCAGAAACTACTAAAAAATACAGTATTAAATTTCATACCCAATATAGATCCGTTATATACAAATATATTAAAACATTACGATAACACAGATAAATGCGAAATAGAGGCGTTGGAAGAAGAATTCGGTGATAGTGTGTACAATTACTTGACAAAGAAAAATTTAAACCCATTATCAAATTATACACGTGAAAAATCATTTATACATCTATTGGAAATGGAGAAATACGATTTGATAATAGAATTATCTTCCGGTACACAAGATGTGGCATATCCGGAATTATCTAAAGAGATATACGAACAGTTTGCTAGAAAATTCCAAGATAATAGAACTCCTAGTGAAAGATATGAATGCAGTGAGAAGAATAATCACATAGTTCATGGGAATCTTGTAGATTTGATCTGTGAGAGGTTTAACACCCCCATAGTGTCGTTGGGGTTGAGTTGTTGTAAGATGCCATCCCCTGACGTCATCGGATGGGTGTGGAGGGAGAACTTGCGCGGGATTATGAAGCTTGTAGAAGTAGCTAATACAGGTAAATGTAGCTTACATTCTTTTAGGTGGCAAACCAAGCGGAATGAATCCACCGAAATGGAAACCGCTGCCCATAAACATCCGCAGTTACAGATGCGCTGCCTACCCT